GGAAGTCCCGTCTGTGCATTCTTGAAATAATTTAGTAATCCAAATGCCCATGAAATTAAATTTAATAATCAGTAGGTATGGAATATCTCTGTCAGTGTTTAGAAAAGAGCTATAGCTGATACAGAAAACAAAACAAAATATACCAAAAGTTGAATTGTTTTCAGGGTAGAATACATCCAAGTTAACGATGATGAATCATAAACAGAAATGGTTTAGTCCAAAGAAAATTAATCACTTGTATGGATATGAAACTACTAATTCCAATTTTAGAATTAAGCCTCAATATATATTTTTTTAATTTTTATTTATTTTTTATCTTTTTTATTCTTTAAGTTCTAGGGTACATGTGTACAATGTGCAGGTTTGTTACATGTGTATACATGTGCCATGTTGGTGTGCTGCACCCATTAACTTTTCATTTACATTAGGTATTTCTCTTAATGCTATCCCTCCCCTCTCCCCACCAGCCCCATGACAGGCCCCGGTGTGTGATGTTCCCTGCCCCATGTCCAAGTGTTCTCATTGTTCAATTCCCACCTCTGAGTGAGAACATGCAGTGTTTGGTTTTCTGTCCTTGGGATAGTTTGCTCAGAATGATGGTTTCCAGCTTCATCCATGTCCCTGCAAAGGACATGAGCTCATCCTTTTTTATGGCTGTATAGTATTCTGTGGTGTATATGTGCCACATTTTCTTAATCCAGTCTATCATTGATGGACATTTGGGTTGGTTCCAAGTCTTTGCTATTGTGAATAGTGCCACAATAAACATACATGTGCATATGTCTTTATAGTATATGATTTATAATCCTTGGAGTATATCCCCAGTAATGGGATGGCTGGGTCAAAGGGTATTTCTAGTTCTAGATCCTTGAGGAATCACCACACTGTGTTCCACAATGGTTGAACTAGTTTACACTCGCACCAACAGTGTAAAAGTGTTCCTGTTTCTCCACATCCTCTCCAGCACCTGTTGTTTCCTGACTTTTTAATGATCACCGTTCCAACTGGTGTGAGTTGGTATCTCATTGTGGTTTTGATTTGCATTTCTCTGATGACCAGTGACGATGAGCATTTTTTCATGTGTCTGTTGGCTGCATAAATGTCTGCTTTTGAGAAGAGTCTATTCATATCCTTCGCCCACTTTTGGATGGGGTTGTTTAATTTATCTTGTAAATTTGTTGAAGTTCTTTGTAGATTCTGGATATTATCCCTTTATCAGATGAGTAGATTGCAAAAATTTTCTCCCATTCTTTCGGTTGCCTGTTCACTCTGATGGTAGTTTCTTTTGCTGTGCAGAAGCTCTTTAGTTTAATTAGATCCCATTTGTCTATTTTGGCTTTTGTTGCCATTACTTTTGGTGTTTTAGTCATGAAGTCCTTGCTTATGCCTATGTCCTGAATGGTATTACCTAGGTTTTCTTCTAGGGTTTTCATGGTTTTCGGTCTAACAAGTCAGAAGACAGGGGATTTCTGCATCAATATTTTTATGTACAAATAGGAAACTTCTCAATGGTTACAAAAAAGTGCAATTGTCTTCTACTTAATGTTAGAATTCCTTTGTGGGGTCACATTGTTCTTGACAGTGGAAAAAAAAGAATGTTCCATGAGAGGTTTCCTCATACCTAAGAAAAGGGAAAAAAAGACTTCTACAGAAAATAATAATTTGGGGCATAAACACTTTTCCTGGAAACTTGCTTTGGGGTCTTTACATCTTAAAATCTCAAATTCTTTATTCCCTTGTCACATTCTGAATTTTACAGTCTTCATGCTTTATATAAATGTCCAATACATTTAAAACTTAAACTTCATTTACTTATCTGTTATAATCCCCAGAACTTTAATGATCTTGTATGTTTTGGTTTCAGATACAAGGCTCATCTTAGGACTTTTTTCTCTGAGCCTGTGCTGGATTATTCGTGACTTGGTACAAGCTGCCTTGCCCATTTGCCCCTCCTTCTTCCTCTGTGTTGCCTCCTTGGGGGAGTGTATGCCTCATATACTAAAGCTCTCCCAAAACTCAAAGCAAATGGATAGAAATAAAAGTAATGAGATTGTGACACAGGGCTGCCTTGGGCAGACCTAAGATCCAATCAAATAGATGATACACATATGTTCATATATATATACATATATATACACGCACATATATATAAAGACCCAGGTCACTATGGGAGGTGAAATACAGGGTTGCCGTTGAAGAGACTCCTCCTAGAAAATATGCTGGTGGACTTTCTGAATTTCAAATGACTCTGCAAACCAGGGACCACCTTCTATAGGCCTTCCCTTCCCTTGCACTTTTTTGCAACCATTGAGAAGTTTCCTATTTGTACATAAAAATATTGATGCAGAAGTCACCTGTCTTCTGACTCGTTAGACCGAAAACCATGAAAACCCTAGAAGAAAACCTGCGTAATACCACTCAGGACATAGGCATAAGCAAGGACTTCATGACTAAAACACCAAAAGTAATGGCAACAAAAGCCAAAATAGACAAATGGGATTTCTTCCCTTGTCTGTCACATGTGTTTCTATGGCCACAGAACTCAGTGGTTTTTATAGTTTTAAATGGTTACCTCATGAATGGTGTAAGTACCTGCATAGTAGTCTCAGAGTTGAGTCTTGGGGCACCAAAGATTAAAATCCTTCTTACGTGGACATTTAAGAAAAAGTTTACCGAATCCTAAAAAATACACAGTGCTGAAACATTTGAGAAAATGCTCCACTTCAAGCAGAATAGGTGAAATCAAAAATAAAAGTGTAACAAATAGGGCATTTTAAAATCTGAAATATTGGCAAAAATTCAAACTTTTGACACTGTACTCTGACGAGGTATTTATGGCTGGCATTATAAACTGGTGGAACCCCTCTGGAGAGGAATCTGAGAACAATGAGTAAAAATTACAAGTACACATCCTTCTGACTCAGAAATTTGGCTTCTAGAAATTTAATTTAGCCTGTGTTCATATTCATGCATGAACCCAAAGAAGTCTACATAAGGATGTTCACTGCAGTGTTATTTGTGAGATGAAAATCATGGCGATAACCCTTAGAGTCGAGTTGGCTAAAATTCTACCGTGGAATACTCTGTAGCCTTAGAATGAATGGGGAGTGCTCTATGCCTAGGGTGTCTCAGGAAAGAAGAAACGGTGCATGCATTGGATGATCTTTAACATTGAGGACAAGGAGAGGGGCCTCACACTTCACTCTCTCCTTTTCAGCTGAGCTCATCTACATCTGCCAAAGAGGGTAGGGACAGTGGCAGCCTCCCTCCGGCTGGGCCTGGCCACCTTCTCTGGCCTCTGGATGCATCCCAGCCTGACAGCTTGGCTGCAGCTTTATGACCAACACACAGCCAGAACCACTAAACTAAGTGGCTCAGCAATTCTAGGTGCACCAAAGTATCAAGGTCACAAACGTGTTATCTTAACATGATGAATATTAGGAATGATATTCAGCATGTTAAGAGATTTTTTTGCAGCATATTTTTATGCAGCAATAGACAATACCCTCTGGGTTTTAAAGTAAATTTAATTGTGTGTATTTCAGGTACACAACATGGTGTTATTGGATACAAATATATTAAAATGGTTACTTCGTAATATAATCTATGTAATTGAAGTTCATGGGCCAGGCGCGGTGGCTCATGCCTGTAATCCCAGCACTTTGGGAGGCCGAGGTGGGCGGATCACAAGGTCAGGAGTTCATGATCAGCCTGGTCAACATGGTGAAACCCCGTCTCTACCAAAAATAAAAAAATTAGTCAGGTGTGGTGGCGGGCACCTGTAGTCCCAGCTACTCAGGAGGCTGAGGCAGGAGAATCGCTTAACCCCGGGAGGTGGAGGTTGCAGTGAACCGAGATTGCGCCACTGCACACCAGCCTGGGTGACAGACTGAGACTCTGTCTCAAAAAAATAAAAAAGTTCGTAAAAACCAAACTATATATGAGGTTGGTACACAGGTAATTGTGGTTTTTGCCATTGATAGTAATGACAAAAACTGCAGTAACTTCTGTGCCAATCTGATGTAATAATGGCTATGCTTAACAACTGGCTCAGAAAATATAAATTTTGAACCCAGCTCTTGTATGAATATTTTCTAAATTAATTCTTACCGTTAGTAGATTAATAAAGGTTTCAGCAACAGAAGTGTTGACACCCATGGAGATTAGAAATGCTGGATGTCAATGAGAAAGCGGGGCTGACTCAGGTTGACTCTTCCCTGGGGAGCCATATTGGAACTCACATCCTGTGTGGAGACCATCCGCTTGTGGGGAGTTTCTAGGACAGGGACTCAGTGATATGAGGAGAAGGGGATTCTGAATGAACACTGAGCCTGTCGATAAAATTCTCCCCAGCTCAACAACCTTAGGTATTGTGCCAAAGAGCAGGAGCAATAAAAAGAAAACAGCTTCCTTTTTGTTCCTAATCCCTCAGAAACATCTTCAGATCTTATCTTAGTAGTCACTGCCTCAGGACAGAGGTGCAGGAGTTAGCTCAGCCAGGAGGGCCATCCTCCCTAGAGTGTGGTGGACAGAGAGTTGAGTAAGATGCGGTTTCTGGAAAATCCCGTAATGGCTTCCGTCTGCACAGCGTGGGAGATGGGGATGCAGTTAGAGTGAGGGTGTTCCTCAAAACAGCAGGGACTGCAGCAATCAGGAAGCTCCTTGTCACTGTCCCTGCATTTGAAGAACTAAGAAGAGTTGCACATTCAGGGACCACAGCACAAAAGCAACAGGAAGCTTTCCCTGTGCTGGATGAGAAACCACAGAGCAGGTTTCCTTTTGGACTTCATGGTGGAAAAGGAGAGGAGCTGAGAGAGAAGAATTCTCGAGGCTGTGCTGCAGGAAGCCCCTTGCACAGGGTGAGGAAGCATCTTCAGAGCAAGGAGGAAACCTGAGAGCCCAGGGCAGATTTTGGTCTCATTTCCCTATGAACTTGGACCACTGTGGAAAGTGATGCTGATTGCGTATGAGTAACAGTAATAATCAACCTCTTCCTCAGCCTAGAACCCAGAGATGGTCATGGAGGCCGTGTTGCCAGACTTGGAGCCAGAGAAACGATCGGGGACCCCTGAGGGCTGATAACTGATGCGATAAATCATGAGTTGGGGGGCTGTGCCTGGGTGCTGTTGATACCAGGAGACAATGTTATAACTCCCAACATCACCACTGGTTCCAGTGCAGGAGATGGTGACCGACTGTCCAGAGGAGCTAGATACTGAGCGAGGCTGAGTCAGGGCAGACTGAGCCCAGGACCCTGGAAAGAGGGAGAAACACACAGTAGTGAGTCAGTGCTGGGCCCAGGTGAGCCTGAGGAGCAGGAGACCAAGGATTAGGTCCCCGAGGCCCCTTCCCTGGAGGCATCACCTGTGTCCTGAGTGAAGAGGGGGAGGAGGAGCAGAGCCCAGACCATGGTGGAGATGTCCTGAGAGCACTGCTTCCTGAGACCCAACACTGGGCCTGCCCCCAGCCCTGTGTTATCTCTTCTGCCTCAGAGTAGGGCGGGGCTTCCATGCAAAACTGCATCCTGAGCTCCTCCCCCCACCCCATTCTCACATGGGCCTGGGCTCAGAGACTTCTGCTTCCCTGGACAGCAGGGCTTAGCCAAGGGGATTGAAACTTCTTGACATGGATCTCCTGAGATTGAGCCCATGACAGTGCTCGGGAAACGGAGCCAGCCTTGGGGTCTTTCTTCTTCCTGTCCTGGGTTTCACAGTGGTTCTGGCTGTAGAGTGCTTAGTACTTCCCTTGTGTGGGTCCAGTGTGAGGGCAGGGCCCAGAGTGGCTGGGAGAGACCCCAGCGCCCCCTTTCCCAGGACCACAGGCCCCACAGGGACCCCTCAGTCCCCCTCAGCCCTTCTAGGGCTCCTCAGGTCGGCTGGGTCCTCACACCTTGCTCTACCGTCTGTGTCTGTAGAGGCCTGAAGCTGCTGCTTGAATAAACCTGGGGTGGATTTATTGGCTTTTTTTTTTTTTTTTGAAATGGATTCTGGCTCTGTTACCCAGGCTGGAGTGCAGTGGCACAATCTTGGCTCACTGCAACCTTCATCTCCCAGGTTCAAGCGATTCTTCTGCCTCAGCCTCCTGAGTAGCTGGGATTACAGGCATGCGCCACCATGCTCTGCTAATTTTTGTATTTTTAGTAGAGACGGGGTTTCCCCATGTTGGTTAGGCTGGTCTCGAACTCCTGACCTTGTGATCTGCCCACCCTGGCCTCCCTAAGTGCTGCGATTACAGGCATGAGCCACCGCACCCAGCCTATTGGCCCTTCTAGAAATGCATTTATGGGGGGACAACAGATTTAGGACCCAAGACTGCCTCTGTCTCTTTAGCGAGAGTCAGGAGGAAGGAGCTCCTGGGACCGCATACCCAGGGTGGAGCCCAGCAGGGACCTTCCAGGCCCAGGCCCGCGCTGCCCCTAGTGGCCACAGAGGGAGGAACCTGAGGCCCAGGAGCTCTCCTGAGTCACAGCTGACAGCCCCTGCCCTGCACCCCCTGCCTTCGGTTCCCTTCCCAGCTCAATCCTAGGCCCCTGGTCCCTTCTCATCCCCTCCACGCTCCCTCCCCCAGGGTGGAGTGCGTCTCCCACACCAGGACTCCAGATGCTCCTCCTGGTGCCTGTTTGCTTTTCCCAGAGGGCTGTCCCACCGGTTGGTGTCCATGAGGCAGCTGTGGCTCAGGGCTGAGGAAACCTCACACATGAAATAAATCCACCCCCAGCAGGTGGGTGGGACAGGAACATGGGATGAAGAGAAAACCAACTGATTCCTCAAAATGTTGACAGAAAAAGCATGACATAGAGGAGGCAGTGCTCATGAAGGCTGTGACCAACCTCTTGAAAAGCACTGGGGTGGGGGTTGGGGGGTCCCAGGCCAGAGGAGCTAAGGAAAGGGGCCTGGGGTTAGGATTGGGTCAGGGCCAGGACCAGGAACCCCTCCTCAGGGCGCATGCGTTCCTCAAACTGTGACCTGGGACTTTCCTTAGTCCTTCTCTTTAGTGCACATTGAGTACCCCTCAGCCCAGAGCTGAGCGCCTCCCTGAGGTGAAGCCTCCCCACACAGAAAGCGGCTGATCCCATGTGTTCCTCAGAAACTCCTGGGTTTGGGGTAAAGACTCCAATCACGGCGACTTCTCTCTGTCAGAATAGAAATGTAAACGTCCTCTCAGGAGATGGGTTTTGGGTTCTGCAGTGTGAGTGTTCGCGGGGGGGTGGGGGGGGGTGGGTACGGGAAATGTTTTGTGTCACTGTCCCTGTTAGAAAGCAGAGATTTCTAACAGCACGGGAGAGGAGGGAAGAGTGGGCTCAGGGGCTCAGGTGAGAAAGTGTGGTGTGGGGAGGTGACAGCTTTGCATTTGAGGCTACTGTTTCTGCATGTGTTGTTTAGATATTTATGTGCTATTTTGCTGAATAAATAGTTGCAAGAAAATAATGTTTCCATTTGAGCTAGCACTAAAATGGAATTAGGTCAGTGACCAGCTCAAATATCAGTGATCATTGGCTGTGGAGCCAGTGGCCTGGATCCTTTTCCCCTGAGAACACTCTAGGAGCCCAGGCGCTCCCTGCAAAAAGGAAATCTCTGGTCTTCAAGATATGCCACCTTGTCTTTTCTTCCATGTTCTGTTAGCACTAGGAGAAAAAAAGACCCCACCAAAGCTATTGGAGTCGCCAACCTCATTGAAACTCTCCTGGATGTGTGTGTCTACACAGAGGACCAGACACAAAAATCAGAAGCACTTGGTGAATCTGTCCTCACTGCAACCCAAGCAGCAATGAAGAGTAGCAAGGTTCTCTTCCAAATTGTGGTTTCTGCAAAGATTTAGGGTTTTTTGTTTTTGTTTTTTTTTTAATTCAAAAATCTTGTCTCTTAAAAACTGAGGCCTGCAGGGACGTGTTCACTGGTTCATGTGATGGGTAATGTCTCCAGAGGAACTGGGTCTGTCCCACATCTGCACTTTTAAAAGTCACTAATTCAGACATCAGGCACGTTTGTAGAGCACAAGCTCTAATCAAGTATATATGGAAGGACGTGCTATGTAACCAAGGGAAAAAATTGGAAAGCGCCACAATCCCCTTCACGTCTAAACCATGTGGTCCATGTTGAGGAGGTGCACACAGATGAGGAGGCAGCTGAGACTGAGGGCTGGAGACCCCTCCTTTACAGCCACAACTTCCTTTGTCTTCCTGCTCCATCAGCAGACATTGACCTGTATGCACATCAGGGATTGGGCATCCTCAACACCATCTGTCCCTGGTGTCTATGCACGTGTACATCCTCTGGGACTCTTCATTGAGGGATGCCACTCAAACCATCTGTGGGCACAGTACAGCAGACTGAGGAGGAAGTAATGAGTACCCAGCTTCCTTCATCTGTTTCTTTGGTCAGAAGATCAGACTCCATCCTTGAAGGCCTGTGGTAACAGTCACCTTCTTCAAGTTTGGCCACTTGGCCATTGCCCCATACCATCCTCGCCTGTGCTTTGTCCTGGGACAGGCTCATCAGGGCTGTGGACCTTCCAGGAGCCTGGCCATGGATTTGGGCTGGGCCCTGCTGAGAGATCATCGATAACACCTGGCTCAGCAGCAGGTGAACCTCAAACCCATCATCTTCCTCCTCCAGCTCCTCTCTGGGTTTGGCAGACTGACTTAGTCCCATCTTGGTCATTTAATTAGGATGTGGTTCTGTGCCTTTAGGATTGTGTGAATGATTTTCATCACCATAGTTTGGCCATTTGGGGAGCCACAACTCATGTGGATTCATCACACAGTCTAGTCTCATTTTACATCTGGTGCTGCTCTTCCTATGCCATCTGCCAACCCCGCAATAAACTAGAAATTGACATGCTCAACTTTTCATTTCTTTCTCATCAGTGTTTTATATAAACACATAGAAAGCATCAGAAACCCAGGCCTGATGAGAAACCAACTTTAGGTTACTTGGTCTCTGTGAGGCTCTTAGGATTATGGCCTCTACACAGGACATGACCTCTGGAGGGTGGGGGGTTTCTGTTCCCCCCAGGCAGTCGTATTCTGTCACTGAGCCCAGGATAGCCCCTTGGTCAGAGCTGAGGCAGGTGAGAATCTGTTTCCCTCTGGAGAGCATCTCTTCAAGGAGGCTGGGGATGCCCATATGGTTCAGGGCCCCAAATGCCCCACGACACCCACCTGAGGCTTCCCTTAGCCCAGGAGCTGCCCCCTGAATCAAAGTCTTCCTGGAGCTGGGGGAGAGGTAGAGGGAGGAGGGGCTAGGTGTCTCTGGAAGCACCCAGGACAGAGGGCTCAGCTTCACAGGACACTGCTGCACAGGAAGGGACAAGGCCCTGAGAGTGGCAGGAGGCTCAGGCAGCCATCCTGGGTGAAGGACTCAGGCCCTGGGAGTCCTGTCTCCTCACACTGTGCCCCCCTCCTAGAGCACCTCCACCTCGGGGCATCTCCCAGGGAATCCCAGACCTGCGGGAGCTGCCCAGGCTGACACCAGGGCCCAGGCTCCTGCAGCTGCATTTGCCAGGTGAGGTCCTCACTGTGCCTGGGCTCCTGTTTGTGTCCGTAGGTGATGCTGTGGGAGTCTGAACCTCAGAACATGAACACTGCAGCCCTAGATGACAGTATACTACACCAGACTTCCAAACCAAGGACTAATCCTTAGACATGTAGGACTCCGGGCTGGCCTCCCTCTTAGGTTCCTACTGGGCGGCCTCAGCCTCTCTGCTGGCTACAGCTCTGCTGTCCCGTGCTGGCGAAGAAGATGGAGCCCCGGACTTCCCTTCTCTTAGTGACCCCAGAACACCTGTCACCTGGGAGGGTGGGGTGGGAGGGTCCAGCCTCAGTCTATGCCACATGTGAACTCTGGCCCTTATGGCTCAGCACAGAGAGGTGGCATATATGGTTGCAGGGAGGTGGGGCAGGTACATTTCTTGTAACTGAGTCTCAGGTTGAAATGCTCTTCTCTGTTCCATGGTTTTTGATCACAGAATACAGAGTGCAGGATAAACTGTAGATCTTCTGTGAAAAACGTTTAAGTCCAGAGAAATGCGGTCATACCCTACGTGTACTCCTGCTTCCCATATGTGTATGGAAGACAAGACTGATTTTCTCATCCTGATAAGAACAGCTGCATTGTAACTGGGAACCACTAAACCTCAGTTGTGTACTTAAACCATCGTCACCGTCGTTGTCATTGTATTTTTTCTATTATCATTATTTTCACTTCCTAACATACTGACCCATGTTTGTGATGGGAGGTAGCACTAGCGTTTTTTGTTTTAATAAAATTTAAGACTTCCTGGACAATGTCGAATTGCAGCGGTGAAGGCAGGAGTCCTTGTTTTTGCTTCTGATCTCAGTAGGGAGGCGTTCACTGTTTCACCATTTACTGTGAGGTTCACTGTGGATTTTGATAAAGGCCCTGCCTTAAT